CTCCCCTTTCATCTAGACACGGCTCATGCTCTTAATTCCAACGTGCAGAAGCAATGCGCCATTGATCTGAGCCACTCGGGGGAATTCTCTGCTGCTACAATCAAGCGCCTCCTGAGCTCTTCCATTTCCCAACGCATCACAGAGGTGCACGAACCTTCCCACAACCGGTCTGAGCAGAAGTTTTCCACGTTCCCTCTTCTTGCCAGCCATCAGACCATTACAGGATTCTTAGTTAAACACAGCACATACCGTATTTTTTGCTCTATAAGACTCATTTTTTCCCTCCTAAAAAGTAAGGGGAAATGTGTGTGCGTCTTATGGAGTGAATGCAGGCTGCGCAGCTATCCCAGAAGCCAGAACAGCAAGAGGGATTGCTGCTTTCACTGCGCAGCGATCCCTCTTGCTGTTCTGGCTTCTGAGATTCAGAATATTTTTTTTCTTGTTTTCCTCCTCCAAAAACTAGGTGCGACTTGTGGTCTGGTGCATCTTATAGAGCGAAAAATACGGTAGTTAAACGGTAGAACTCACTCCCACAGGAGGCGGGGATGGCGTTGGGTGGCTTTAAAAGAGGAGCGGACACATTCATGGAGGTATGAGGCTGTCCGTGGCTACTAGCCACAACGGCTGTGCTATTCCTCCACAGTCGGAGGCAGCAATTATTCTGAATCCCATTTCAGGTGGAGCCTAATTAGGCTGAGAAAATGACACCCGTTTATTTACTTTTATCCTGCCTTTACCCACAAGTGCTTTCAGGGCAGCTAATACAGTGGTACCTCAGGTTAAGTACTTAATTCGTTCCGGAGGTCCGTTCTTAACCTGAAATTGTTCTTAACCTGAAGCACCACTTTAGCTAATGGGGCCTCCCACTGCCGCCACGTGATTTCTGTTCTTACCCTGAAGCAAAGTTCTTAACCCGAGGTACTATTTCTGGGTTAGCAGAGCCTGTAACCTGAAGCGTATGTAACCTGAAGTGTATGTAACCCGAGGTACCACTGTAAATCCGAAGGATCTCACAGCTGCAGCCCTTTATCTTCAGCAGGCATAGGCAAACTCGGCCCTCCAGATGTATGGGACTACAATTCCCATCATCCCTGACCACTGGTCCTGTTAGCTAGGGATGATGGGAGTTGTGGTCCCAAACATCTGGAGGGCCGGAGTTTGCCTATGCCTGATCTTCAGCAACATTCCTCTAAGGTAGGTCAGCCTGAGAGAAAGTAATTGGCCCTAAGGTCACTTAGAGAGCTTCATAGCAGAGTGGGGATTTGAACCCAGATCTACCCCCCCCCCCCGATCCTACTCTGGAACTGCAAGACAGTGGCCTCTTCTTCCTCCTCCTCCAGCACCACAATCGTAATACTATAACCTTCCACACGGGTTGGTTATTTTTATATATATAAAAATGTAAAGGTTTCCAATGACTCGTCTAAGTTGTCCCTTAGGACCACAACAGCAGAGAACAAAACAAAGTTTTATGTTCAATGAAATGTGACCAAAAATATCCTTGGCGTAGAGTTTTCAGTGGGCTTACATAACAAAGGGAAGTGTTTGGCATAATCGACTTAGAAAACACTGGATAAAATGTGGCCTTTGCAGTAACTGTACATCAAGGGATATGTATATGGGGGATACAGGCTCAATGCAAATACAGTGGTACCTCGGGTTACAGACGCTTCAGGTTACAGATGCTTCAGGTTACAGACTCTGCTAACCCAGAAATAGTACCTCAGGTTAAGAACTTTACCTCAGGATGAGAACAGAAATCATGCTCCAGCGGCGCAGCGGCAGTGGGAGGCCCCATTAGCTAAAGTGGTACCTCAGGTTAAGAACAGTTTCAGGTTAAGAACGGACCTCCGGAACGAATTAAGTTCTTAACCCGAGGTACCACTGTAATGCATCTGAAATAAAGTACAATGCCTACATTAGGAGTGGCCAAACCCCACTCCAGAGGTCTGGTCCAGTGCCACAAGCAAATTTTTATGACACCTCCTGCCTCAACACCCCAGCCATTTTGGTGGTGGCGATATGATAAGAGAAAGCAGGCATAGTGCTGGGCTGAGCAGGGTAGGGGTTAAACTTCCCTTCCCAGCCCATTCATTGCCTGGCTGCAAACCAACCCCAAATCAAACTGGCCGATTGTTTGATGAGTGCTGAAGGGCGATAACCCTTCTCTTCAGCCGATCTTCATGAATTACATAGCTCCGTCAGTAGAGCATGAGACTCTTCATCCCAGGGTCATGGATTCGAGTGAAAGATTCCTGCATTGCAGGGGGTTGGACTAGATGACCCTCGTGTCCCCTTCCAACTCTATGATTCTGCAATGAGTGGCTCTGCGTGTGAGTGTCCTGTATTGCATGCACATGCAAGAGTGTGGGCCATGTCTGGCCACGTCCATTGCTGGCATGTGGCCCCTGGAGGATGGTGCAGTGTCTAGAGCATGGGTAGGCAAACTAAGGCCTGGGGGTCGGATCCGGCCCAATCGCTTTCTAAATCCGGCCCGCGGACACTCTAGGAATCAGCGTGTTTTTACATGAGTAGAATGTGTCCTTTTATTTAAAATGCATCTCTGGGTTATTTGTGGGGCACAGGAATACGTTCATCTCCCCCCCCCAAATATAGTCCTGGCCCCCCACAAGGTCTGAGGGACGGTGGACCGGCCCCCTGCTGAAAAAGTTTGCTGACCCCTGGTCTAGAGTGTTGGGACTATGACCTGAGAGGCCATGAAGCTCACCAGTGACATTTGGGCCAGTCACTAACTCTCAGCATGGACAGGGTTGTTGTAAGGATAAGATAGAAAGGGGAAGAAGCACACAAACCACCCTGAGCTCCTTAAATAAAAGGTAAAGGTAAAGGGACCCCTGACCATTAGGTCCAGTCGTGACCGACTCTGGGGTTGCAGCGCTCATCTTGCTTTAGTGGCCGAGGGAGCTGGTGTACATGTGGCCAGCATGACTAAGCCGCTTCTGGCAAACCAGAGTAGCGCACGGAAACGCCGTTTACCTTCCCACCTATTTATCCACTTGCACTTTGATGTGCTTTCGAACTGCTAGGTTGGCAGGAGCAGGGACCGAGCAACGGGAGCTCACCCCGTTGTGGATATTCGAAGTGCCGACCTTCTGATCGGCAAGTCCTAGGTTCTGTAGTTTAACCCACAGCGCCATCCGTGTCCCAAAGCAAAAGCTACTAGTAGTAATAATAATAATAAATTTTAAAAAGAAAGAAGTTAGTTGTCCCTGATCTGCATGATATTGTTATGTGAGGTGGGGAGCATTGCTCTGGATGATATCCTTGCATCCCTTTCAGGCCTGTGATCCAGTAAGTGTTAGAATCCAGTAGAAAAGGCTGGTGAACCTCTGTTAAGGTAATGGCTTTAGCTGGTCACTTAAGTGCATCTCAACAAATGCGTTAGGTTGCAATCGCTACAACCAAGTGACTGTGCTCTCCAGGGCTTAATGGGTGGGCTTTCCCCCCCACCCCCTCACCTAGTTGCTAGGTTGTGTGTGAGAACGCTGAAAAGCTGAATGCTAGAAGCTGGAGGGGATAGATACAGAGACAGAGACAGACAGAGACAGAGACAGAGACAGAGACAGAGACAGAGACAGAGACAGAGACAGAGATATATTGCTCTGTGCTGGATCCAAAGCTGTAACTAATGGAGAAGTGAGATCTGTCGGGGTCTTAAAGCTACAAGCCCCTCTCTCCTATGCTCAGATTGTATATACGTGTAAATAAAGACATACATGGACGCGGGTGGCGCTGTGGGTTAAACCACAGAGCCTAGGACTTGCCGATCAGAAGGTCGGCGGTTCGAATCTCTGTGATGGGGTGAGCTCCCATTGCTCTGTCCCTGCTCCTGCCAACCTAGCAGTTTGAAAGCACCTCAAAGTGCAAGTAGATAAATAGGTACCACTCCGGTGGGAAGGTAGACTGCGTTTCCGTGCACTGCTCTGGTTCGCCAGAAGCGGCTTTGTCAGGCTGGCCACATGACCCGGAAGCTGTACGCCGGCTCCCTCGGCCAGTAAAGCAAGATGAGCGCCGCAACCCCAGAGTCAGTCATGACTGGACCTAATGGTTAGGGGTCCCTTTACCTTTACCTAAAGACATATACAGTGCTTTTTTCCTTTAAATTTTTTTAGGGGTACTCTCATTTTGACTCAAGAAAATCACCATTTTATAGTTCAAATCAGAAAAAATAAATACAGTAAATGGACAAAAGTACAATGATGTTTAGGGGTATGCGTACTCCTGCATCCCCCCAGAAAAAAAGCACTGGACATGGTATGTATTAAAGGTTCCCCAGTCTCTGCTGACCTTCATCCTTAAGGAAACCAAGTCCTGGGAAGGCGCTTGGAATAAATGGAACCTCTCCCTGCTCAAAGATTGGGGTGACGTGCAGAAATCTCTTCCTCAGAGCTACCTCTCCTCTGCTTTTCCTACCAATATTTGCTACACTTTGTTTAGCAACACAGCATCAAAACAAGGAACATTCCTGTGCGTTCACAACAATGGCTCTTGTGAGTGAGAAGAGACGTTTCCTTTTTTCCTGGCTGTTGTGCTGCCACCTCCATCTGCTGAGCAATTTTGGGGGATCAGAGAGAGGCGGGAGAGACAGAACTGCTTTCTCAGGTAGTGGGGGAGAAAACTAGTTAAGAGTGGGTTTCTGGTCCGCCTTTTGGGCAAAAAAAAAGGGGGGGCCCCGAGGCAGCTCACAAAGCTTAACGCAAATACAAAACGCAAGCAATAAAATGCAACTTCAATTCTTGTAAGACAGCGAACTCCCAACATCTTTAAAACACACACACACATACAAAATAAAATAAAAGCCCAAGTGACACCACACTTTGGTTCAGAATTGACCTGGGGGGCTGCCAGTGGCTGATCCCTGCCCTATCTGATCCAAACATGTTTTTCACAAAGTAAACAAGGCTTACTCGAGTCAGAAAACTTTCTGCCCAACTGACACATCCTTGGCTCGCGTGCTGTTCCCTATATGTGACACTCACCACAATCTGTGTCTCATTGTCCGTCAAAGTGTCAATAGCCAGGCTCCCGCCAATTAAATCTTCGCTGATCCGAGTCCTCGTGTCTCTTGGCGAGGTGTCCCGCGTCTTTCTCTCCCAGGAATGAGGTTCTATCCCAACCGCGGAGACATCTCTCTGGCTCCAAGCTGTAGGGAGAGGAAGAAAAGCGAAGAATGATTTCTTAGCGTACGAGGAAGGCTCCGAGAAAACAAGGCCACATTCCACACCAGCCTTGCTTCCCATGCTCTGTGAGTGCTTCTGCCTATCTAAATTGTGCCCTTAAACTCTGATACTGTCTCTCGGTTGCCTGGATGTTGAAACAGAGAGAGGGATGTGAGGCTGTCTGCAGGAATGACCCTGCTACAAACCTTCCTTCCCTGCCAGCCAAACCTGGGTGCATTAAATGCCCTTCATTGTCAAAAGGACCCTCACTGAACCACAAGAGATTTATTTACAAGGGCAGATGGCTCTTCCATCCCCCAAAAACTGCTGCTTTGTTCTTTAGGTCTTCCTTTGTGCATGGCTTTGTGGGGCGGGTTGTTGCAGAGATATACAGTAATTCCTTCTGTTTCCAAACTTCCAAGCAGAGTGCTGGGCCTTATGTAGCCTAAACAGGACCACCAATGGGCAAGAGGGAGGTATCAGGAGGGGAGATCCCAAGGCTTGCAGAAGTACAAAGCCGCCCAATGAGGACTGAGCATGCTCAGTGGGCATGGAATGCCAGGGTGCTTCCAAGCTGTCACTATTTTTCAGTGGGATTCAATCACATCCCGGGAAATCCAGGTTGTGCGATTGCAGTTGGATCAGGAGGTCCAGCACAACACACTCGCTTCCCCCAAAGTTATGACTCTTTGCAAAAATGAAAGTGGTGCAGAAATGCACCAGAAATGCATTTCCTTTGACACAACGTCGTCTAACCTCCCTGCGAAGAAATCAGAGCGAATGCATAATAAAGTGGCGTTGTGGGTTAAACCACAGAGCCTAGGACTTGCCGATCAGAAGGTTGGCGGTTCGAATCCCCGCGACGGGGTGAGCTCCCGTTGCTCGGTCCCTGCTCCTGCCAACCTAGCAGTTTGAAAGCACGTCAAAGTGCAAGTAGATAAATAGGTACCACTCTGGCAGGAAGGTAAACGCCGTTTCCGCGCGCTGCTCTGGTTCGCCAGAAGCGGCTTAGTCATGCTGGCCACATGACTTGGAAGCTGTAAGCCGGCTCCTTCGGCCAATAAAGTGAGATGAGTGCCGCAACCCCAGAGTTGGCCACGACTGGACCTAATGGTTAGGGTTCCCTTTACCTTTACCTCCATGGAAACGAACCGGGATGAACACGCAATAAACATGTCGTCTGGAAGCACCCTGGCTGTTTTGGCAGAGGAGAGGACATGGAAAACTGGATAGAGGAAGGATTGGCATGGGAAATTGTTAAGGAGGGCAGGGCTAGGGGCATACCTAGGGGTTGGCCAGGTTGGTCCCCTGCCAATGGTGCAGGCCGGGATGGTGGTGCAAAAATCATGCCTCTCCACTTGGCTCCTCTGTCGGGGGCTCAAGGGACACGGGGGCACCGAGAAAGCTCCTTGCCAAAGGAACCCAGGTATGTCTCTGGTGATGGCCCATTGGAACTTGGCACTGCAACATTATGTTGCAGGTCTCGCTCATCCTGTTCTGTTCCTTTCCTAAAGCCAGGGATTGGGATTAGTTCATTGACCCTCATGCGCAGCAACAGCAGACCGGATGCCAAGATTTCAGATGTTCAGAACATTTGATGCTGGGATGGGTGGAGGAGAGCTGAAAATGAAGCAAGGGACCCCAAGTCCATAGCCTTTGGAAATAACTGGCATAGTCAGTCCCTGACCCCTGGCATATGGATTTGCAGCAAAGGCATGTATTTGACACACACACACACACACACACACACACACACACACACACCAACCTCTTCCGGGCCCTTTATAAAATGCTTTTGGCGCCCGTCAAAGGGGTTTTGTCTCTCTCGTGCGTCACTGGGGCGCCTTAGGCAGCTCCAACTTGGCCTCAGTCACCCATCTGTAAAACGGGAATAGCACTAACCCACACCAGAAGGTTGCTAAAAGGGACAAACCTAATCAGGCCTATGCAGTACTTTGCAAATTAAAAAACGTTATATAAATGGCAATTAGTAGTTGCAAAGCATCTTGTTTACGAAATGCGCTGTATAGATGATTCACGATATAATAATAGCTTACAAAATGAAGGTTTTTCTTGGCACAGGATTTTGAAGGCTTTCATTGGTCTGAAATAAATACACTCGGTGATAACTTTAAAACTCAGTTTTTGGTGCCAGTGGTTATTCCTAGAACATGCAAAACAACCAGACAGGCAACAGTGCCTCTGAGAAAGTACAGATGGTCTTTCTTTCTCACTCCCACCCCATATATTTGCGGCAAGCAGGTTGTCTGAAGGTACATTTTGAGTTAAGAACATTAGATGCCTCTTGAATTGCCTCTCCTGAGTTGAGCATCTCTCCTTTTGGTACTAAAACTCTGGCTACAACAAGAGATAGGGCAATACCCAGCCGACATGTATTCAGCCATTACCAGATACTAAACATTCTAAATGAAACTGGTGTACAAGCAATTCATCTTACTCTTCCAAGCAAATAAGGGCCCATTCCAAAGCACAAAGTTCTGGTTTGCCACCTTTTGAAATAAGAAAAGTCACATTACGATCTAAAGAGCACCCTCTCACTATTTCTAGCGCACCAATTGACTCTAGAATGACAGTGAGATAATAATCACAGTGATTAGTGTGTCAATGACCAGGATTTGAACCTCCTTTTTGTATTATCCTTTTTAAAATTAAATTTCCAAAATTTCACGACTTCAAATCGAATAATTACATTGTTTCATAAACTGACTTCCTGCCCACAGCTGCAGTGTGTTTTCGTTCAAACCCTTTCCTACTGCGTTATATATCAAACTCTTCTCTATTACAGAAATTCCTATAATACAGTTACTTAATAGTTTTTCTACGGCTGCTCCATCTCGAATCTGGCTCGCAAATTCATTTGACTATAATACTTTCTCATATAGTCCATGAAAGGCAGGATTTTGAATCTCCACTGAGTCACAAAACATAGGTCACTTCTAGACTGCCTTTTCAGGTAGGATTCAACCATAACACCATCCAATTTGTGTTGCACAATTATAGCTGATTTCACAATTACAGTGGTAGCTTGGTTTAAGAACAGCTTAGTTTATGAACAACTTGGATTAAGAACGCTGCAAACCCGGAAGTACGGTAGGTGTTTTGGTTTGTGAACTTTGCCTTGGAAGCAGAACATGTTTCGCTTCCTGTTGAGTGTGTCCCATTTGTAAATTGAGTCCCCCGCTGCTATGGGAAAGAACACCTTGGTTTAAGAACGGATTTCCGGAATGGATTAAGTTTGTAAACCAAGGTACCTCTGTATAACAATCACCAAAAGGTCAGATTTTTATTTTTATTTTGCAATAGGGAAAGTGACAGGAAAATGCCCTGGAAAGAATGGGATAACACCTGCTTTGGCCCAACGTCATATAACCTCCCTGCAAACAAATCACCACAAATGCTGAAAAAACACCCCGGTTGCCTGGAAGCACCTTGATTGAATGACCTTTAGTTCGTCATACACTCTCAGCCTAGGCTACCTCAAAGGGTTGTTGTGATGATAAAATTGTTGCGCACGGTGACGGGTCCGTGTAAGCTGTTAAGTTGTGGGTGAACATATCAGACGACACAGCCATTCTTCAGACAGCTCTTGTTTATTCACAGGCCAGAACAGAACTGAACTCAAGGGTTCAGCCAGCCTGCTTATATAGAGCTCCACTAGAATGCAACAGTAACCATTTTCTGTAACTATCCAATCACCGAACGTCACTTTCAATCCCTTATTTGCATATGTGGACCTGAGTGAAAACTATCTACAGTATCCCCCTGCTGGCCCAGGGTGAGAACTTCAGTACATAACGTAAGCTACCCTTAAATTCCTTGGAGAACGGTTGGGATTGAAAGATGCCTGAAGTAAACACACTGTGAGCTTGCTTTTAAAACTTCGTGCATGCGCGTCACCTGTTCAAATCCTTGTAACAGAGAGGCTTCTTCTGTGGCGTGTCAATTTAAATCAAGGTGCTGGCCACCATATCTAGAAATAAGGAACCAATGTCACACAGCAGACATGTTATTCTGGTCTTCCTCTCCGGAACCGCTCCTTCTTATGAGGGTTGCCATAGCATATATTCATCCTAGCCCTGCTTCCTTCCACAAAGCTACATTTAGGCTGTGGCTTCCAGGAGGGGCCTGGGAATCCAGATGTTTTGCACTGATGCAAAGAGTGGTATGGCGATGGAAACAGGCCCTGGACACTTGCTTTTGGCAAGGGGTGGGAGGAAAAATAGGTCGCCGTAATGGAAAGGAAACCTTTTCTTTTTCTTTTTTGTAGATCAGACTTTCAGAGGCCTAGCTGGTTTTAAAAAGCATAGAGCACATGAATTGATCCTGGATTATACTGGGCCATCAAATGCTGAGAAGGCTTCCGCTTTTGATTTCTAAAACATGAAATGAATATTATAGTCACGTATAGATTGTGTTCCATGTCCTGCCTGATGTGAAGGAATGGTTGGAAGAGCTGGGTATGTTTAGCCTGGATAAGGCTGAGACTGAGAGGAGATGTGATAACCATCTTCAAATACCTAAAAGGGCTGCCACATGGAGGATGGGAGCAAGCTTGTTTTCTTCTGCTCCAAAGGCAAGGACACAAACCGACGTCTTCAAGTTGCAAGAAAGTGGATTGTGACTAAACACCAGGAAGAACTTTCTGACAGTAAGGGCTGTTCAACGGTGGGATGGTCTCCCTCGGGAGGTTGTGGACTCTCCTTCTGTTATGTACTGAGTTGAATAGGATCCAAAAGGCAGCAGTCTGATTGGTCCTAGAACAATAGGATTCAGAATGCAGCAGTCTGATTGATCCTAGAACAATAGGATTCAGAATCCAGCCGTCTGATCGGTCCTAGAACAATAGGGTCCAGAATGCAGCAGTCTAATTGGTCCACAGGAGCCACCCAATCCAGCTCCAGGTGGAAGTGAATTCGCAACCTGATTGGCCTACAGGTGAATCCCGGAATTAGCCAATCACATG